CGTAGCAGCTGGACCCGCCGGTGGGTCCGTAGGGTTCTAGGGGTTAAAAATGCCTTTCCACCGCGCAGCTAGAGCAGCAAAGATGCTTCAGCCGCATGCAGAACTAAACTTGTAAAAGCATCAAAAATGAAGGAGCAAGCGCGTTTTTGTTGCTCCTGCTTCCCGCGGTCGGAAAGTAGCATCAGAAAGTTCAGCTATTAATTAGGAGCTTATTCAGTTCTCTAAATAAGCTTGCATTCTGCATCGACAGCATTTAGAAAAAAAGTTTATTTTGTATTTTTTCCTAGTGAATGTATCCTTAAGATAAACTTAGGTTTGTTTAAGCACTGTTTGGGTTTACTCTTTTTCCCCTTTTACTGAATTTGTACAAAACTTTCCCTTAAATCCAAGAGACACACCTATTCTTAAAAATCTAATGTACAGACTCTAAAGGACCTTAATTGACTTTGCATTAAATAAAACATTAGTACCTTAGAGCAGGCGGTGCCTCACCTGAGCTATGACAGCTTCGTTGCTCTTGTAGTATCTATAGAAGAGGTGGTCGGTCTGAATGAAAAGCTGGCAGGTGTTTTTCTCCGCCTGGGCCATCCTCTTTCTCCTCAGCAGCACGGGGCCTTCAGCCTCAGCCTCAGTGTGGAGCTCCTGATGCAAGGAGCACATGTGAGTCTTACAGACTTAAATAAAACATATAAACAGCATTTTCAGCCTAACGGCGAGTAAATAAATGATAGAGAGTATTTTTAGATTTTTCTCTCCAAGGCTGGATTCTGTTCATAACCCCGAATAGCAAAGCAGATATCCAGATTATGTTAGCAAGTAAACTCAGATAAGATCAAATAAATAAAACACCTATTTGGGATCCAGAATTTACACTTGCATCTCAATAAAGTAGAATATTAATGTAAAGATAATTTGTTTCAGCAATGAAATTCAGGAAATTACATTCAGAGTATATATTAGTGTAACGCCACTGCCATTTTTTGGCCCTGATACCTGGCTGTGAAGTATCGGCCTCAGCAGATGGCCGCTCACACTGAGCCTGGTTCTGCTGGAGGTTTCTTCCTGTTCAAAGGGAGTTTTTTCCTCTCCACTGTCGCTAAAAGCATGCTTAGTATGAGGGATTGCTGAAGGGTCAATGAGTCGATGCAATCAGCTGGTTTTCCATAGATGGAAAACTTTGACTGGATGATCTGTTTGAATTGTAAAGTGACTTGAAATTATATGTTTTGTGAACTGGCACCATCAGGCTTCCTACAGCATAAGGCAAGTTAAATTCAAGACTTATTAATGCCACTTGAAAT